GCTTCTTTGATAACAGCAACAATAATGTCACCAATATAAGCATATCGACGATTGCTAGCTCCTATTATTCGAATACACATCAATTTTCGAGCCCCGCTGTTATCCGCTACATTTAAAAGGGTTTGGGATTGAATCATAGCATTTTTTTTATTCTTTTCTTTCACAATGCAAAGGGCGAAGAAAAAAAGAAATATTTTTTGTCCACAAACATAAAACGAAACCTCTTTTTTTTTTGTTTTTGTTTCATTCTTAAGATTCTTTGGGTTGGTTCTAGAGTTATATCGTCTATTCTATCTCCGAAATAATGAATTGAGTTTGTATCGGCATTTTTGATGCTGCTATTGAAATAGCTTTTCTGGCAATATTTTTTGTTACTCCACCCATTTCAAAAAGTATCCGACCGGGTTTAACAACAGCAACCCAATATTCAGGGGATCCTTTTCCTGAACCCATACGTGTTTCTGCGGGTCGTACAGTAACTGGTTTATCGGGAAATATACGTACCCATATTTTTCCTCCACGACGTGCATTTCGTGTCATAGCCCGTCGCCCAGCTTCTATTTGTCTAGATGTGATCCAAGCGGGTTCAAGTGCTTGAAGCGCATATTTACCGAAACAAATATGATTCCCTCGAGAAGCTATTCCCTTCATTCTTCCTCTATGTTGTTTACGGAATCTGGTTCTTTTGGGGTTATAGTTGATGGATTTTTATTTATTCCATCTCTACTACAGAACCGGATGTGAGAGTTTCTTCTCATCCAGCTCCTCGCGAATTACGAATAAAGTATTTACAAAATGAGCGTTTGACTCAAATTGACTAATCATAGTGAAGATATCTAAATCTAAAGATAGATAATAAAAGTCTGGACTGAGAAGTCAAAATAATATTTAGGGATTGAGTGATCTTTTTTTAAATCTATTTGAATTGAAATGAATTATTCTACAGTTTTTTCATGATTCTCTGAGTCTAACTAATCCTTCATTTTTGACTATTCTTTATATTGCTTTAGATTGAATATTGATTCTTTTGAAAAAAGTTTTCGCGGGCGAATATTGACTCTGTCAATTTAGATTTCATTTCTAGGACGAGTTTGTGACATCTTATAGCTAGTATCTAGAAATAAAATAATTTAACATTGGTTTATTCCGCCATCCCAGCCAGTGAATGTTTAAGATTTTTTTTTATTTCATCTTGAATTGAATTGAATCTTTTGTATTCTCATAAGTTCCGTCGTCCCCATCACTTCTTACTTAATGGTTAGGTCCTAATTTTACAATGGAGCTCAAATAGTAATAATATATGAATAATTTAAGTCTTTAGCCATTTTTCTTAGTCTTTATTGGCTTTAAGCTCTTGACTTTATTTTTTTATTTTATCTCTTCTATATTTAATATCTAATTGAATATTTATATATAGATTATAGATTTCTATAATAAGAGTATATTGTTTTTTATTATTGAATATTCTTAGATTTCTTATTCTATTTTAAATACTTTAATATGCAGAATTTAAGTATTAATGCTTCATTACATTGCCTGTTTTGTTAGACCCTACATATTGGAATTTTCAATCATTGAGCTTCTTTTTCTCCCTTTCTCTCTCCCTTCCAATTATCCACATCTTTTTTATATTTTGCTTCGCAACTTCAATAATATTTGAATACTATTTTTCGTTTATGCAAATAAATGGCAGTTGCTACAACGATATGAGCGGTAATCATATCGTGACTGGTTATTTAGATCCAGATAATGCGAAATTGATGAGTTAATTATTAGGTAATTTCTTCTCGAGTTAGTAGTTGTTACTTTGGGTTTGGTTTCATGCTAACCTTAAAAAATAAACGAGTCGCACACTAAGCATAGCAATGATATTTTTATTAAAAATAAATAAAATTTTTATTCAACCTTATAGAATTCATTATTATCAATTAGAACTGTTCCTGCTCATTACACAAAATAATTTGTGAAATGGCCGCTCGGTATTACAGGTAAAAAGAATGAATAAAATTTTATTGAGCTTGATCAAAAAATATCCAAATTTTTATGCCTAAAACCCCGTAGATAGTTCGAACTGAATAACAACAATAATCAATTTTAGCTTGAATAGTTTGGCGGGGAATTCTTCCTTCTCTTATCCATTCCACACGTGCAATTTCCTTTCCGTCAAGGCGTCCCGCAATTTGTACTTGAATTCCTTTTGTATCTGCTTGTTCAGCTAATTCAATAGCTTTTTTCATTGCTTTTCGAAAGGAAACTCTATTCTTTAATTGTCCAGCTATAAATTCGGCAAGAATATTAGGATTTCCATACGGTTTTTCAATTTTTGTGATAGCAATATTAAGTTTTCGGTTTACGAAATTTAATTTTTTTTGTAGAGCTTTTTGTAATTCTTCAACTCCCTGCGGGCTATTTTCAATGAATACTTTGGGAAATCCAATATAGATTATGACTTGGATTAGATCGAGTCTTTTTTTAATACATATACCTGCAATTCCCTCGGTACCCGAGGGTTTGATTCTATTTTTTTGTACATAATTTTTTATAAAAGCTCTTATCTTTTGATCTTCTTGCAGATTTTCAGCATACGTTTTTGGTTGCGAAAACCAAAGTGAATAATGGGCCTGGTTTGTACCAAGTCTGAAACCAAGTGGATTTATTTTTTGTCCCATAAATACCTCCTTTTCTGGATATCAGAATATGCTTTAGTTCTAGAATTTTTTTTCGCTTGTGGTTTTTTTAGCAAACCGAGCTCCACGGATTCAGAATCATTGAATGAAATATCTTTTAGTACAATAGTGATATGGCAGGTCGGTCTTTTTATTGGATAACTACGCCCGCGAGCCCGAGGTTTTAATTTCTTTCCAGCAGTCCCCTCATTAACTTCAGCTTGACTAATAACTAAATTTGCTTTATTTGAAGCCATAGTGTAACTAGCATTTGATGCGGCTGAATAAACCAATTTTAAAATTTGATAACTGGCACGATAGGGCATGAGTTCTAATATAATAAGTGTTTCCTCATAGGAACGCCCACGAATTTGGTCAATAACTCTTCGTGCTTTATTAGCCGACATAGCTATACGTCGACCTAAAACGTATACTTCTGGGGTTTTTTTATTTAGCATCTGGTACATAAAATTTGCCTCCTACTAATGACTTATAAGCATCAAAATATTTTTTAGTATTCACATTACCGATGAGATTTCTTATCATTTTTTGCATGTCCTCGAAAATTTAAAGTAGTTGCAAATTCTCCCAATTTGTGTCCGACCATATCATCCATTATATAAATAGGGAGATGCTCTTTCCCATTATGAATGGCAATAGTATGACCAATCATTATTGGAATAATAGTAGATCCCCGGGACCAAGTTATTATTATTTCTTTTTCTCCCTTTGTGTTAAGTTTCTCAATTTTTTTTAATAATTTATGAGCTACAAAGGGATTTTTTTTTAGTGAACGTGCCACAGTTTACTCCTATAAATTTTATTATTCTTTTATTTTTTTATTTTTCATATAATTGAATGAATAAATTTAATTTGTTCTATTATATTAATTTTTATACTATATATATTACATTAAGTATATTCACTCTATTAACTATATTATACTATTATATTAACTGCGGTGACGAAGAATGAGCTTCTCACTATATTTATTCCTCTTTCTAGTTTTTCTTCCAAGTGCGGGATAACCCCAAGGGGTTGTAGGTTTTTTTCTCCCAATAGGAGCTCTACCCTCACCGCCCCCGTGTGGATGGTCTACGGGGTTCATAACTACTCCTCTGACTACAGGACGCTTACCTAGCCATCGTTTAGCTCCAGCTCTACCCAAATTTTTTTGGTTGAACCCAACATTCCCGACTTGTCCTATTGTTGCGGAGCAGTTTTGGGATATAAAACGGACCTCGCCAGAAGGTAATTTTAATGTAGCTGATTTACCCTCTTTTGCAATCAGTTTCGCCATTGCACCCGCTGCTCGAGCTAATTGTCCACCCCTTCCACGTGTAATTTCTAGGTTATGTATAGTCGTGCCTAAGGGGATTTCGGTCAAAGGTAGGGCATTTCCAATTTTGATTGAAACATTTGTACCAGAAACAATGGTATCTCCAATTTGAGCCCCTCTCGGATGTAAAATATACTTCTTCTCACCAGTCTTATAATGTATTAGACAAATGTTTGCATTTCTATTAGGGTCATATTCTATGGTTATGATTCTACCATATAGGTCTTTTTCATTCCGTCGAAAGTCTATTTTACGGTATAGGCGCTTATGACCCCCCCCCCCTATGCCTTGCTGTAATGATTCCTCTAGCATTACGACCTTTACCACAATGATGCTTTCCAGAGAGCAAATTTTTTCTTCGAGCAAATTTTGGGCTGTTTACGGTTTCGCTCGGGTTATAAGTTTTGTATAATTGTATTCCCATGATATAAATGATTTTTATTTTGGATTTAAAGTTTATTTGTTTGGAGGTGTAAGCCAATGTCTAATGATCTGCGGTAGCCATTGCATTATATGTCCTCTAATAGGGAGGGCCTACCATTATGTGACCCTTTGCCAGAAGCGTAGCACTACTCAAAGTTTATGACGTGGATTTCAAAAAAAGTCTATTTATTATTTTTTAATAACTAAATTCTTTTTTTTAATATTATATCTTTTATTCCATCCCGAATTTTAATTCATTCCGTATTATTTTAAGTTGAAATAAAAATGTTAATTTTGAGTGTTGATAGAATCTATCTATATCTCTAATATAGAGATAGATTCTCTATATGTATCGGTATCCTAGAATTATCTATTATGATATATGAAATGGAAATAGTCAACATGAAATCTATCTAGGAACATATATCTTCTATGATATTTGATATGGACAAATCTATCTAGGAGCATATATCTTATATGATATTTAATATGGATTATGAAGGAAATGCTCAAAGTAGATCTATGCTAATATATATCCTAAAATATAACAAAAATATCATAAAAAGAAGAATTGGAGGGTCAATGAGATTTTGTGTAAATAACTAATAGTGCTAATAGTGTGCATCCAGTAGGAATTGAACCTACGACTTCGCCAATTATGAGTTGGGCGCTTTAACCACTTAGCTATGGATGCTTAAACGAGACCATCATCTATAAAAATTGAAAATTAAAATATAATAATTATGGTAATTATGAATCTTGGAATTGCAAATAAAAAAAAAATGATATTTTATTTTATATGATAGGATATGATAGGAATAGAGAATCTAATATTCAATATCGAATTACAGCAAAAAATATTACATAAAAAAATGTCGTTTAAATAAAGAATTTCGGAAATCTGAAATACTAAACAAAGACTCTATTTATCATTTCTATTTTTACATTAAATAGTCAATAGTCAATTATATAAAACAAGTACTTAAAATTTTTGCATAAAATCTTATGGAGGTATGAGATGGAACCTAAGCAAAACAAGTTCTGGATTCTAGAATTACGAGAGATACTGAGAGAGATTAAAAAATCAAAATATTTTTTAGATTCATGGACCCAATTGAATTCAATCGGATCTTCCATTCATATTTTAGTCTCCCAAGAACGGTTTTTAAAACTGTTTGACCCACAAATTTGGAGTCTTGTACTTTCACCTAATTTGCAGGGTTCAAAAAGCAATCGATCGGTCAAGATTAAGGGAGTTTTACTAGTTTTCGTTGGCGTTGTTATCTTTATTTATCGTATTAGCAATCAAAATATGGTTGAAAGAAAAAAATCTCTATTTAAAAAGACTTTTTCCTATACCGATGAATTGCAGTGAATCCATAACTGATCAAGATAGTGGTTATTCTACTCTAAATCGATTGAGTATTTTACTCCTTTCTTTTCCAAAAGGCAAAAATCAAATTGATATTGATTTACTGAATACGAACTATAATACTCGGGTTTTGCCAATAAAAAAAAAACCTAACATGCCTCAATCAAAGTCAGATTCGACGCAGGGGAAAAACTTTATTAGAGAAATTATTAGACGAACTAGAACGGAATTTAGAGAAATTCCAATGAAACTTCTTGGTTTAAATCTGGTATTATTAAAAGATAAAAAATCGCTGGAGTTTCCTTATGATTCCACAAGATCTAGTTCCTTACAAGTAAAAGATTCCGGCCAACCGAAAGGATCCTTGGATAGAAATTTTTTGGATTCCATTAGAAATGAGGATTCCGAATATTCCAAATTAATGAATAAAAGAAAATTTAAACAACGAAAACAAAGATCAACTTCTTGGGATCCTTACTTTCTTAAAACCGAACAAAAAGAGATCAAAGGCCGTAAACCCACGCTAAGCCTTCCGTTTCCGAAAGAAAGGGAACAATCTCGGGGCAATGCCCCGAGGTCCCTTTATTCATTTTACTCTGATAGATGGTCAGAACTTTATATGGGATCAACTCCTATTGCTAAGTCCAATATGGATCCGAAATTTAGGAATAAATCTCTTTCTTTTGTCCGGCAAGCGGAAAAGAAAGAAATAGTTAATCTATTTAGAATACTTACGTATTTAAAAAGGACTGTTTTAATTAAGTCTATTTCTTTGGATCCCGAAATAGAAAATTCGAAGAATACTGGATTTCTTAAAAAAACTCCATTATTTTCTTTTGTTAACCGATTCCTTGAAAGTAAACAAGGAAGCTATGTGCTACAACATAATTGGAAATCAGAAAAAAAATTACAAAAAAGTCCAGGTTTATTTATTCTGACAATAAGCGAGCCGGATCCAGTCTATAATCAGGGATTTACTTTTTTTGTTAATATAGATTCATATGAATTGCATAAAATCAAATTATTGAATAAAATATTCAATACTAGGACTGAATCAAAAAATCAATCTTTGTTGGCTCTTTCGCCTATTTTTTTTCGTTATAAGGAGAATAACTCTTTTTTTCAGCGAACGGGCCAAAACTGCGTATGGATTGAAGCAGTGAATCTATATAGATATAGATTCATTCACAATATGATTCAAATGCAATCTAGTACCTATGTGTACATAAGAAATCTATTAAATAAATTTGTTTTCATAAATATATCCAATCACAATTTCAAATATCGAATTAGGAGAATTCAAGGGGATCAAAAAGAAACGGGGTCTTCTCAATCATCTAACTCATATGACATATAAAATAAAACAGGGTCATCCATATAGATCCAAATGGTCAAATGGGGCAAAGAGTTTACAAGAAAATTCAAAACATTTTCTTTATGAGCAGAAAAGACTTTTTGAAATGTATGTTCAAGTCCGAAAGGGCCATTTGCAAATGATGTTTGAGAAAGTTTATAAATTATGTATTTATGTTATTGATAAAATAACTGAGAAATGGATTTATTGGTCTAAGGTTCGCAGGGAAGTAGAAATCAAAGTAAAAAAAAATGTGTATAAGTTAGTTCCTTTAGTTTTTTACCAAGTTGTCCAAATCAGTACGTTTCTTCTTTTTTCCCCAGTCACTTCGTTTTTTTTTTACGAAGGGATTTCACTGTATGATCAAGTTGCTTTTCTTTTTGTCTAATTCACTTGGTTTTTCCTGTGTAAGTTTTGGTACTAGTCCTGTTCAGAGGTCCGAAATCTATATCTATCAATTACAAGGACCGAACGGTCAACTTTGTAATCAGTTGTTGGAATCAATAGGGTTTAAAATGATTTATTTAAAAAAATTAAACCCCTTTTTGTTGGAAGAGTCTGGTACGTCGAACTTTGTTATCAATGAAACAAAAAGATCACCCTTTTTGTTTCATAATATAGCAAAAGAGAGGATTGATGCATTGCTTACTAGACCAAAATATTTTGATGAAAAGGCTAATGGGTTTCATCCCATGAACCTATTTGAAAGAAGTTCACTTATATCCGCTTTTTATAAAGCAAATAGACTTCGCTTCTTTAATATTCGCCCTAACTCTAACTTTTGGTTAGATTGTAAGAGAAGATTTCCATTTTCTGTGGAAAGGACTCGGAATACTAATTCGTATTTTCTCTATGAGCAATTTCTAAATAGCTTGTTCCTTGGGAATCAAAAAGTTTCTTTAGGTGGTGGGAAAAAAAGACAGGTTTTTGGGGATAGAGCTACTATTTCACTAATTGATTCCTTATTTAAGGATTTTGCCAAAAATGGTGACCCACGGTATAACTTTGAGAATTTTTTTAATTCTGTAAGGGAATCCGATCCAGTCATGCCTAATTTGATTCTAAATACTTTTGGAACATCTTCTACAGAGGAAGAAATAGTCAATTTGGAAACAACTTATTGTCAACCGTTTTCAGATCTAAATAGAAATCTATATGATTCAGAAGAAAATCACTTTCAAGAATATCCTAATTTTAATTTAAATATGGATATGGATTTGGTTGACATTCCCTGTTCTTATAAATATTTTTCATTTCAAAACAAAAAAAATCGAAAAAAAGGCGCTGTGTTTCAGAAAAGACGGATGGCAACAACTTTTCATAGAGAGAATTTTTTTTCCATTTTATCAGAAAAATTAAATCTTTTCCAAATGAATTTGCCAAACTTCTTTACTTTGACAGGGTACAAATATCTCTATTCTCTATTGATAGATATAGTTTCAATATTAAATAGTAGGATATCTATTTATTGGGAGATTTTGTATTTATTATGGCAAATTTTTAAGATGAAATT